AGGAATAGGATCCAGGCCATGCTAATGAGAAGTCCTCACCCAGAATGTGGTGATTAGGTAAAGATGTTATCTTTTGTAGCCCAAGTAAAAGCACAGAAACCACAGGCTATAGCTACTGTCCCGGAGCAGCAGCTCTGGTGTCCTGGCACCCAGCTCCTGTCCACTGTCATTGTGTCTGACTTGCAAGCTATTAGCAGTTGTTTTCACTGGATCAGATCAGAAGCAGGATTCTGGGTGAGATCTTTGTCTGTGTGGCTTCTAAGTCTGGTCTCTGGCCTTTTCAGGAAATTCTGAAAATTACCCTGTATCTTTTTTTTTTTTTTAAGATTTTATTTATTTATTTGACAGACAGAGATCACAAGTAGGCAGAGACACAGGCAGAGAGAGAGAGGAAGGGAAGCAGGCTCCCCGCCGACCAGAGAGCCCAATGCGGGGCTTGATCCCAGGACCCTGAGATCATTACCTGAGCTGAAAGCAGAGGCTTAACCCACTGAGCCACCCAGGCGCCCCTACCCTGTATCTTTTTAATAAAAATCCATTTTCTGCTATAACTTAAAAAATGTATTTTTTAAAATACGCTTTGGTGTTAGATTGTCTGGAGCCAAACTCCAGCTTTCCACAGACGGTTGATCATGCTGACTAAACCATGAAACTATTCTGAGATTGTTCCCACATTTGTAAGTGGGTAAAATGAGATACTACTTCATAGGATTGTGGTGAAGGTCAAGTGAGACATTACCTGTAAAGTGCTCTGGGACGTCATCACTCACACACTTGCAATCCTAGGTTATATAAGGCCAACAGAAGGGTTTTATTTGATAAACTTTTTTAACATGATCAGTAACATTTAAAAGTTAGGGCATTTCATAAAAATGCTGGATTTACAATTATTGAAAAGTCAATGGCTCTGGAACACTGGCAACACTTTCCTACTTTGCAACAGAGATTGAGCTGAAAAGCAGTTAGCTCCTTTGCAGGATGTAGGAACCCACCTGGCCAGTTTTACTTTTGTATTACCCGCCTGGTCTCTGCTGTAGGGTTTTGAGTTTGTAGTCTTGCAACTAGGAACCTAAAAACTTTCCAAAGCTGCAAAACTGAGAAATTTGGCTAAATTGTTCCCACAAACTTTATCAGACTGATTTGCTGTTTTGTTGTTGCAGAGTAATTTCAAAACTTATTGGAATCATTCCCAAACAACAGCCATCTTATCACCTTTAATGATTCTTGGAGTTAACTGGGCTTAGCCGGGCAATTCTCTGCTCTATCTGGCAGAGACTGTGGTCTTCTGCAAGTGCCGCTGGATTAGGACATTCAAGATGGTTTACACATGCCTTTCTTGGGGTGTCTGGGTGGCTCAGTTAGTTAAGCAACTGCTTTTGGCTCAGGTCATGATCCTGGAGTCCCGGGATTCAGTCCCACATCAGGCTCCTTGCTCGGCAGGAAGTATGCTTCTCTCTCTGACCCTCCCCCTTCTCATGCTCTCTCTCTCTCTCTCTCTCAAATAAATAAAATCTAAAACAAAAACAAAAAAACTCAGCGGAGAACTCACTTGGTGCTATCTCAGTACTCCTCCACAGGCCTTGGGGATCTCACAGCCTGGTAGCTAGCTAAGACGCAGAAGTGAAAGTTGCTAGTTTTAAGGCCTGGTCTTGGATAGATGGCCTGGAATATCACTTCTGCTGTATTCTGTTGGTCAAAGCTAATCAGAAGGCCAGCTCAGATTCAAGAGGGGGAGGGGCGGGTGGGATGGGAAATAAGCTTTACCTTTTTTTAAACTGGTGAAAAAAATTTTTTTTTTTTTTAGATTTTATCTGTTTATTTGTCAGAGAGAGAATGTGAGCACACAAGTAGGGTGAGCAGCAGCCAGAAGGAGAAGACTTGCAGGGAGCCTAATGCAGAGCAGGGAGCCCAATGCAGGACTCAGTCCCAGAAGATCATGACCTGAGCAGAAGGCAGACACTTAACCCACTGAGCCACCCAGGCATCCCAAGCTTCACCTACTGATGTCAGGAGCAAGTTATGTATAAAAAGAGAAGACTCTTGGAAGCCCATCTCTGGAGGCTAGTGGCTACATATAGCTAACATTTCATGATTATTTACTCTTTGTGTAAGAATGGCTTAGAGCAGAAGAAAAAAGTCTTTTGGCCATTTAGTAAAAAGGAATTCAGAATTAGTAATTACTCTGTACCACAACATATAAAGTTATAGAAGGCCTATTTCCAATAAATTCTCCCACTTCCTCAGAGCTGGCTTAAATTTGCTATATCTTAGAAAGCTGGTTAAACAAATTTATAGTTAAATAACAAATATTCAGCTGACTAAATTTGAAAGATCTAATTGGCTTTATTAGTCAAGTCATAAAACAGGTAGCATCCCATCCAGCAAATAAAGGGGCGCTCCAAAGGGCTACAGAAAACAAAAGGCTTTTTAAAGATAGAAATAGTTACAAAAAGGGAATTATTAGCTAAGAATCCATTGTTTTAAGCAATGCTGCCTTCCTGAGGGTAACGGAAGGAGTCTATCGATTTCCTAGTGCTGACCAGTAAATTTCCATACTGACTGGTTATAGGTTCAATTCCTTTTCTTTCTTTTTTTTTTTTTTTTTTAATTTATTTAATAGAGATCACAAGTAGGCAGAGAGCTAGGCAGAGAGAGAGAGGGGAAGCAGGATTCCCGCTGAGCAGGGAGCCTGATGTGGGGCTCCATCCAAAGACCCTGAGATCATGACCTGAGCCAAAGGCAGAGGCTTAACCCATTGAGCCACCCAGATGCCCCATAGGTTCAATTTCTTGAGGGTTTCTAACTGCAGTCAGGTTAGGTGTTAATTCTTGGTGTACTGACTTGGGGCCTTAATCTAAGTGAGGCCATTTTCAGCCTGTGGTTTTCTAGTTAACAATATTAAGAAAAGAATAACTGATAACATTCTCCCCAAACCCTAGTTCATTCATATTAAGTCATTCTAGTCTGGTCTCCTCTAATGTTCATACTGTGTCAGGATTCTAGCCGGATTATGAACTGTTGCCTCGAAATTGGCCACAGCTAAGTCTGGTGAACCCTGACAGGGACCCAAGAGGAGGGAGCTGTTAAAAGTGGGAATTCATGGTCGCCTGGGTGGCTTAGTGGGTTGAGCGTCTGCTTTTGGCTCGTCATTATCTCAGGGGCCTGGAATCAACCCCTGCAATCAGGCTTCCTGCTCAGCGGGGAGCCTGCTTCTCCCTCTTCCTCTGCCCGATCCCTCCGCTCTCTCTCTCTCAAATGAATGAATAAAATCTTGGAAAAGGAAGGAAAAAAAAAGTGGGACTTCAGGAATCTGAGCAGTTGCTTCCTGGCTCACGCGGAAGACGACGGAGCGGAGACACAGGTATCCTATTTGTAAAAGGTACGATTAACTCGTAATCTAGAGAACCTCCAGGAGCTCAGAGGAGGTTTTAACTTTACCGTATTACCCACAAAGGCCTAGAGCAGTTCCTGACCTAGACTTGTCGAGGAAAACTGGAAACCCAGAAGATAAATAGGAATGTTAACACAAAATGGTTAAACCTCAGGCGGAGGGAGTAACAGGAATGCAGAAGGCGAGAGAAGCTGGGACACCAGGCGCAAGGGGTGTGAGGAAACGAGGAGAGATGACGGTTACGACACAGGCAAAGGTCCAAAAGTTTCAGGGGCAAGAGGGAGCCACTGCGAGAGTTAAGGTTGTTGACAATGAGAGGTGACTTGTCCAAGCTGCACAATTAGGACCAGAGCCAGAAAAAGAGGTTCTAATTATTTGATTAACCAATTTCCAGTGAATTAATAAATCCCCGCTGTCCCACGTTTATCTTCCACCCGGCAACTCAAAACGTAACACACTCGTCCCCTACTCGCCAATGGCTTTGCGGAAATGGCCTCAGCGCTTCAACCGGAAACAGAAAGTGACCGATGCGGACGCCACCTAACGGCGGGTTGGGGGCAAGCTAAATCCGGAAGGCCGAAACACCGGAAGGGGCCGCCTGTTTCCGGTAAAAATCCGACGCGGGAGAAGCTCAGAGGGCGAGTCTCCGAGGTTCGACCAGTGTACCCAGCGCGCTCTGCTCCGCGACATCGCTTGCCCACTTTTGCGCAGGCGCAGGGATACAGGGCAGGCAAACGCGGACGCAAAACCGTGCGCGCGCCCGTTCTCCGTCCGGCGCAGCGGTGCTGTTTTGAGGGTAAAACCTTTGGAGCTGGAACGCGGGCATTTGTTCGCTGAACTACAACTCCCAGCATGCCTCACCCCTCATGTTGGTACTAGGTGTGGTGTCTTAGGATAGGTTAAAAGGCGACCTAGATGACGATGACGTACCAAAGAGGAAAAAAGAATTGAATACGTTGCTGGAGCGACTCATTTACAGAAGCCCCAGTGGCCTAATGGATAAGGCATTGGCCTCCTAAGCCAGGGATTGTGGGTTCGAGTCCCATCTGGGGTGGTTAGCTTTTCGTCCTCAGCATGACTTTTGCCGTTTTTAGAGAACTACACCGAAATATGCTAACTTAATTTTCTTAAAAATGGGAAGGATATGTGTAGTTTTCCTAGGTGATGGGCTACAGTTTGAGAGAATAAGAATACTCCCATTTCCTTCTTCTGAGTCGTATAGTGCCGTAAGATTTCTGGGAAGTCAGTACTTTGAATTCTGCTATCCCCTCTAGGTACCAAAACGTATCTTTCGTGTTCTGTTTCAAATCAACACCCACTCCCACCAGGCGCACTTATTCTCGAGACTCAGCGGTCAGCTAATGACGTTTTAAATGACGTAGTCAGCGAAGAACCTTTCCCCTAGCCCAGCCTTTCTCACTTTTTCTTACGGACCCGGTGAGTCAGTTAAACTCGGCTTTCGTTTGCTTCTCCCTTAACTCCTTAGGGTTCCGCTCGGTGTTTGATTAGTAAGGCCCCGCAGAGAAGGGAAGTGAGATATTCCACTACTCTGCGTTCGATGGGGGGACCCAGTAGTCTGCGTCCGATTGTACCATTTAGCGGCTGAGCTGGGGGGAAGGAAGTTAGAGGGGGCGTAGGGCGCCATTGGGCACCGCGCTCCGAGGACGGGAAAATGGCGGCCTTGGGGTCCCCGGCGCGCACTTTACGAGGTCTTCTACGGGAATTGCGCTACATGAACGAGGCCACGGGCCGACCCTATCGCGACACCGCGGCCTATCGGTACCTCGTGAAAGCTTTCCGTGCACATCGGGTACGGAAGCCTGAGTCGGGTTCCTGAGTCCAGCGTCCCTTCCACTGGGGGTGGGAGTGAGGTTGGGGGTGGGAGTGAGGTTGGGGGTGGGAGTGGGTGGGGAATATGGGCAGGGGTTGGGAGCACTGGGGACCCTCCCACCCAGCCCGCGTTCTGGCCAAATAAATCCAGGCCCTAGGCCCCGGTCTCCCAGGAACTAACCAAGGACCAGCCGGACAGGAAAGTCGCTGGGGGATGGAGACATCCCGAGGATTTTATTGGCTGGTCTTCTGCAGGTGCGGAGGAGAAAGATCAGTGAAGTCGAAGAGATGGGGGAAAAGAAGAGATGTACTTGGAGAGTGTAGGGTTACTAGCTACAGCGTTTACCCACCATTCTCCTCGCCCATCCTCTAGTAGTTACTCTGAAAACCAGTTTTTGATGCAGAAAAGAGAAGTGTAATAAGATGAGAAATATTAACTTGGCAGACACTGTGTTGTATCCCATACCCCATTTAAGGAAATGGTGCCTTGTAGAGCTGAACTAGAAACCTGTCATGAGATTGTGCTGTCCCAACATTAACGTGATTATCTGACCGGATACATTTTTTCCTTACATAGCAGATAAATTTGAACATATGGGAAGCCATCCTTGGGAAATTCCTTTGTGAATCCCACACTCCATATTCCCCTTAGGCAAGAGCAGGTGGAAGCGGTTTTATTTTTCAGGTGGGACAACTGAGGGTCAGGGACACTGACCAGTGAGGGTACATGCATAGGAACAGCTAGAACCTCCGTTCACAGATAGGGTTCTTACGTTTAATTGTTGCCTGTGGATTTTCAGATCAGGCTTCGAAGGAAGTTGAAAGGAATCTCTGAAATAATAGGTTAGAGAATCACTTTGGGCTGTAGGGTAGGTAGCTTACTGTCATTTGAACAATGTGGGGAAAAAGGAGAACCAGCATCTCGCTCAATCTTTGAGCCATGGAAGTTAGAGTGCAATGTTTTAGAACTAAAATTCAATTTTTTTTTAATTTTTAAATTAAAAATATGCATATATTTATTTGGGTAAACTCTATGCCCACATGGGGCTAAAATTCAAAAATTTCCTTTTTCTTAAGATTTATTAGAGAGAGAGAGTGGGCAAGTGGCAGAGGAAGAGGGAGAGAGCAAGAGTCTCAAGCAGACTCCACGCTAAGTGTGGAGCTGCCACGGGGCTTGATCCCAGGACCCCGATGCCATGACCTGAGCTGAAAAACCGAGTCTAATGCCTAGCTCACTGAGCCACCCAGTCACCTCTAAAATTCAGAAATTTTTAAAAGGCCCAAATGGTAGGGACTTTAGGAACTTGCCTAAAATTATGAATAAGATGCACATGAATCCTGTCTTTTAAGACAAAGCTTGCAGTCCAACTGAGGAGCCTTACAGCAAAGCACTTAATAAACAATAGGAGGTCCTCCTATAAAGAAGAAGTGGGATTTCAGGAGGAAAGTTAAGGGTGGGGTTGCGGGGCAGAAGGAGAGAGAGATGAGAGAGAGAAGCAGACTCCTCACTGAGCAGGGATCCGGATTCAGGACTTGATCCCAGGACCCTGGGATCATGACCTGAGCTGAAGTGGATGTTTAACTGACTGAGCCACCCAGGCACCATCATTCTAAGATTTTTAAGGTGACATGATTATAGTTGTACTTTCTGGAGGCAACATTAGTGCCCTTGAGAGAGACTTGGTAATGGCTCTCAAATTCCTTGGAAATACATTTGAAATTCATGCTACAAATTCCAGAAACACCATTCTGTGCAATGCATATGAGGCTATGGGGAATGCTTTCTGTTTCTGCCCGCTCAGAGCTAACTCAATAACCATCTATGCCCATTTTCTTTATCCTTTCTTAAACTGAAGGGGTTCATTTAGGGAAGAACCTCTGCTTTCTCCTTAGAGAAAATACAGTTTTCTTTTACTTTTTTTTTTAAAGATTTATTTATTGGAGAGAGAGCGAGATGGGACAAGCAGGAGAGGGAGAGAGATCTCAAGCGGCCTCCGCACAGAGCAGCACTCTCTTCCAGGACTCTGAGATCATGACCTGAGCTGAAACCAAGAGTCGGATGCTTACCGGACTGAGCCACGTAGGCGCCCTGAGTTTTCTTTTTCATTTGGTCTTTTTTGGTCCTTTTTAGTCACTTACTGTGTATACTTTTTTTTTTTTTTTTTTTTTTAAGATTTTTAAAAATTTTTGAGAGAGAGAAGAAGACTCCCCTCAGAGCAGGGAGTCCGATGCAGGACTCAATCCAAGGACCCTGGGATCATGACCTGAGCTGAAGGCAGACACTCAACCCACTAAGCCCCCTAGTCATCCCACTTTCTGTTTATATTGTTGACCCTTCTCTCCTCACTCATGATTCAAGTTCAGCTGAGTCAAGATCCGTATTCTCCTACACTAGTGCAGAATTGCTGTTTCAAATCCTGTCAGTTGGGCTTATATAATAGACATGGATATTACCATTTGTTAATGTTTGACACTGGTGTTGGTTGCTCATAAATTTTTAATTATAAAAAGTTGAATGATTAAAGATGAATTCTTTTTTCGAGCAGTTTGAGTGCCATTTTCACATATGTGATCTGCACATTTTTGTGTGGGCTCTTCAGATCTTAAACCACACTTTCTAATTTTCAGATTCTAACCCTACATATTCAAATAAAGAAACGTGAAAGAAAGGGGTTTGCATAGGTACTGGTGCCCAGAGATTAATCTGCAGTTCGATATACACAGGCCTCAAGTCACTTGAAGCCATGCACACATCTGTTTCACCTTTTCTGCCCTCTGCTCACAACCTCAGAACACAAAACTAGTCAAGTAAAGGCCAGTGTACTAAATCGAGATTAATTAGGAAGAAGAGAAAACAAGGTTTGGAGTCATTGGGGACTTCTGAAAGGATATAGTTTCCAGCTACTTACGGTCATCAGAATCTGGATTTGGCAGATGGATAAGTATATAGAAAGTATAATTAAGTGGCGCCTGGGTGGGTTAGTGGGTTAAAGCCTCTGCCTTCAGCTTGGGTCATGATTCCAGGGTCCTGGGATCGAGCCCCACGTTGGGCTCTCTGCTCGGTGGGGAGCCTGCTTCCTCCTCTCTCTCTCTCTCTGTCTCTCTCCCTACTTGTGATCTCTATCAAATAAATAAAATCTTAAAAAAAAATAAGTAATACAAATATATGCATATTACTTTTATATATAAAACCTTCGTTTTGTTACTGTTGAGGACAAAGCTATTATTTCCATACAAAATGGTTTTACTTTTCAGTGAAATGAAAGACCTATACCACATTAACCAAAGTCAGAAATATAAAAAGCAGACTTTCATTTGAAGGGGAGGAAGTTCTATATTTTATTCCTTAGGTGACATTAATGATTATAGTTCCCCATCTCTGCCAGTAGCCAACCATTGAAGTCTCTGTGGGCTTTAGTTTCCTTATTTGTAAAACATTTGCAAGACAAGGGAGTTGAAATAACTTTTTTTGGGTATTAAAATCTGAGGACGCTCAAACTCTTCAGTGATATTCCTTGTAAAATTCCTCTTCAATTAATTGGAGGTCAGCTTTCTCAATCAACTACAGGGTGTCTCTACATATGTAATTAGTATACACATACACATGTTTATATTTCCTCTCTGCATTTACTTTCACTCTAGAGAATGCTTATGAAATCTTTGTGGCCATGTATCTTGGCTGGGCTGCTAATAAAGTCTGTGACCTTGCTACTTTCTAGGTTACCAGCGAGAAGCTGTGCAGAGCCCAACATGAGCTTCATTTCCAAGCCGCCACCTATCTCTGCCTCCTACGCAGCATTCGAGAACACGTGGCCCTTCATCAGGAGTTTCATGGCAAGGGTGAGCGCTCAGTGGAGGAGTCCGCTGGCTTAGTGGGTCTCAAGTTACCCCAGCAGCCTGGAGGGAAGGGCTGGGAGCCATGAGAATGGAGAGAGTCCTTGGATGCTGCCATCATTCAAGAATTTAATCATCTTTCAATATGTATTTATCATTAAATTTTTGTTTAAGTTTAGGGTTTTTCTCTGTAATTTTGTTGACCGAGTGTTTCTTAGGGAGGTTTCATCCTTTCAGCGAATTTACTGAACTTCTTGTATTAGGCTGATTGATGCTTCTGATCTACTTTTAAAACTATTATTTTTATTTTCAAAGTATACAAACTTACTGTTTTAAGTAACTCAAATGGTACAGAATATAAAATAAAAGGTGTCTTTTTTCTTATCCCTTGTCCCTACCCTGTTGCATCCCCATTACCAGGTAGAAACTGTTGCTAACAGTTTGGTGTGTATCTTTCCAGATATTTCCTATATACGAGCATACAATTATATACATACGTACATGCATACATACATATATACATTTTATCTAAAAATACACAAATATATGTTTAAGGTCCTGACAGAAAGGAGTAACAGATTGGGTTACTGCAGGGAGTTAATGAAGGGGTATAGAAAAATGTGGGCTGAATTACAGTCAACAAGTTGTGAAGCCTCCAGCGGCTAGCACATTTGGGGACTATTACCTTCACAGGGTGACAGAATCGACCCTTGTCAGTATAGGAAGATGGCCACCACTCAGGCCGCAGGGAGGAAATCTACAGAGAGGGAGATGGAATGAGCGTACTGACTTCTGCCTTCTAATCTGTGAAACTGCTCTTCCTCTTGAATTGTCTGTCAGTGTGAAAGGCTCCACCATGCCCTTGACTGACCAAGTAGATGCTGACTTCATTCTGTATTCCTGTCTCCTTCCTCTCCATATCTAATCAGCAATTTCTGCTTCTGCAGTGTTCTACTATCCTTTCCCCAACCAGTCCTCATTGCCTCTCTCCTAGTTCAAGCACTGATAATCTTTTGGCTGAACTATTAAACTGTTCTCCTCAATTTTCTCTTGGCTTCTAACATCCTCAAACAGAAATTACTCTTTCTGTGAATCAGCAGCAGTCTTTGTGCCCGCTTCGTGGTCCATGTCAGTTTCTCATAGGCATGTCTTATGACTTCTTTTTCCCTGGACTGCAGGCTGCTAAAGAGTAAGGATCATGTCTCATTCATCACTGTGGTCTCCAAAGCACCTTCCACAGTGACTGTACACATAGCATTATTCAGTATTTTGAATACACGGCTCAGTGAGTACTACTCACACGGAGGCATCCAATCTGAATGGATCTATTCATAAAGCAGTTCAAAACACCATACGAGATTAACACGAAAACAGCAGTATTAAGAGGTCAAACAAGCATTTATTCAATTAATGGATCAAAAAGATAGAAATACTTAACATTTTTTCCCTTGCTTTATTTCATGGGCATGAGTATAATATTATCTGAAGATGTTTTACTTTGGTAAAATGAAGAAAGCAAGAGGATTAGAGTAGGTTGATGCTTTGATTTCCTTTATTTATTTTTATTTTTTTAAAGATTTTATTTATTTATTTGACAGACAGAGATCACAGGTAGGCAGAGAGGCAGGCAGAGAGAGAGGAAGGGAAGCAGGCTCCCTGCCAAGCAGAAAGCCCGATGCAGGGCTCAACCCCAGGACCCTGAGATCATGACCTGAGCTGAAGGCAGAGGCTTTAACCCACTGAGCCACCCAGGTGCCCCAGATTTCCTTTATTGTTACAATATTGTAGATACAATAAAGATTTGAGGCAAAATAGCCTAACTGGCATAAGATATCATGGGTCTGAAGTAACAAGAGACCTAGGTTTTAATCCACTTTTATAATTTCCCAGCTATATTATCTTGGGCAGGTTAGTTGACATGAGCTTCTATAAAATGGGAATGCCAACAAGGTGGTTGTAATAAATACATAAATAAGAAAATCTTACTATTTTAATCATTTTACCTCAGTTATTTATCTTACTCATTCTTTTATCATGAACTCTTAAATCCTATTGCCATCTGCCTTCTGGATTATAGATGGGTTTTTTTGTTTTGTTTTTATAGTTTAAATAATTTGCTCAAACCATTTTTATTCATATATATTCAAACCTGTGCCTCTTATGAACTTACCAAAAAGAATTAGCTGAACTCAGTTTTAGAAATACAAGGAAATGATGGGGGCACCTGGGTGGCTCAGTCATTAAGCATCTGCCTTTGGCTCAGGTCATGATCCCTGGGCCCTGGGATCAAACCCCACATCAGGCTCCCTGCTCAGCAGGAAGCCTGCTTCTCCTTCTCCTACTCCCCCTGCTTGTATTCCTTCTCTTGCAGTCTCTGTCAAATAAATAAATTAATTAAAAAAAAAAAGAAATAGAAGGAAATGATTTTGGAACATAAACTATTAAAGATAAACTTTCTATACTGGGAAGTTCTGAGAACTGAGGTTTTGGCACTGTATTAACCTACTATAGTTTTTTTTTTTTTTTTTTTTAATCAATTTTAGAGAACACATGTGAACGAGAGGGGAGAGGGGAGGAGGGAGAGAGAGACTCTCAAACAGGCTTCACACCCAGCGGAGCCTGACAGGCACCTGAGACCATAACCTGAGCTGAAACCAAAAGTCGGATGCCCAATCAACTGAGCTACCCAGGCGCCCCTGCTATAGTTTTTGATGTGGTACATGCTTTATCATATTCCTTCATTTGCTGTCTCTTTTACCCTCTTTCCTTTGATTTCAGCTACTTCCTCTTGCTTAATTATAGTAGCATTTAAACAGGCTCAAGGCAGGGCATGTGGGTGGCTCAGTGGGTTAAGTCTCTGCCTTCGACTTCGGTCATGATCTCGAGCCCCACGTCGGGCTCTCCGCTCAGCAGGGAGCCTGCCTCCCCCTCTCTCTCTGCCTGCCTCTCTGCCTACTTGTGATCTCTGTCAAATAAGTAAATAAAATCTTTAAAAAAAAAAATAACTGGCTCAAGGCTTTTCCATATAAAAACAATCAATTATGGGGCTCCTCAGTCCCTCATGCTCAGAGCAGAGTCTGAGTTTCTCTCTCCTTCACCTCTGCCTCTCCCCACCGTGTTCTCTCTCTCTGGAATAAATCCCCGCCTCCTTTTTAAAAAAATATTTTATTTATTTAACAGAGAGAGAGATCACAAGTAGGCAGAGAGGCAGGCAGAGAGAGAGGGGGAAGTAGGCTCCCTGCTGAGCAGAGAGCCCGATGTGGGGCTCAATCCCAGGATCCTGAAATCATGACCTGAGCTGAAGGCAGAGGTTTAACCCACTGAGCCACCCAGGTGCCCGCCCCCTTTTAAAAATATTTTATTTATTTATTTGAGAGAGGGAGAGGAAGCAGCAGACTCCCTGCTGAGCACAGCACCCAACTTTGGGCTCAGTCCTGGGGCTCCAGGATCATGACCTGAGCTGAAGGCAGATGCTTAATCCACCAGGCCACCCAGGTGCCCCTCTGGAATAAATCTTTTATATAAAAAGATAAAGACGCTTGTGTGGCTCAATTGGTTAAGTGTCTGACTCAGCTCAGGTCACAATCTCATGAATCATGAGATGGAGCCCCCACACTGGGTTCCATGCTCAGCAGGGAGTTTGTTTAAGGATTCTGTCCCTCTGCCTCTCCCCCACTCTCTCCCAAAATAAATAATCTTAAAAATAAATAAAAACACTAAAACTTTTTACACAAATGCCTTTACAGCTACTACCTCTTCACAAATTGAGTCATTTAATGAATTATACTCATTTTCTACATTTTCATGTTTTTTTAAAGTTTTTTATTTAAGTAATCTCTTCACTCAACATGGGGCTTGAACTCACAACCCCAAGATCAAGAGTCACATGTTTCTCTGACTGAGCCAGCGAGGCACCCCTCATTTTCTACATTTTAAAACATGAAATATAGTCTGTAGTGATGTTTAATTTATATAATAAATATACCCATTTTAAATGTGCAGGTCAGTGAATAATGACAAGTGCATACGTCTGTGTAATAACCCCATTAAAACTATAGAACATTTCCATCAGACCCAAAAGTTGCCCTGTGCCCCTCTGTAGTCAATTCCCCTTCTCCACCCCTGGTCTCAGGTAACCACTGACCTGTTGCTGTCAGCATAAATTAGTTTGGCCTGCTTAGGAATTTCATCCAAATGCACTCCATAGTATGTACTCTGGAGTAGGCTTCTTTTGCTCAACCTACTAATTTTGAGATTAATAATCCGTGTTGCATCATTTTCTGCATTTTTCACTGCCCAATCATCCTCAGTCCACTGTAGTCTGGTTTCTGCCCCTCCACTCTACCTGAACTGCTTTGCAAGGTTACAAATGACCTTCAGGTCACTAAACTCAGTGGATCATTCCTTACCTTGCTTGATCTCTAGGAAGGATTTTTTGTTTTTGTTTTTTACTAAACTCTACCCCTATGTGGGTCTTGAACTCATGATATCGAGCTCAAGTGTTCAATGCTTCATTTACTGAGCCAATTGGGTGCCCCTCTAGGAAGCATTTGACACTACTGACCATTCTTTTTTCTTGGCTTTGATGACATCACATTCTTGTTTTCTTCTCTTGCTCTAGCCATCTGTCTTCAGTTTACTCTCCTGCATGTCCCTAATATATTTGCATTCTTCAGGTTCAAGTCTAGGTTGTTACCTCACACTTGATATGCTTTCCCTGGGTGAAATCACCTCTACTTCCCAGGCTTCAATTATCATGAACAGGCTAACTCCAGTCCAAGCCCTCCTCTAGCCCTCTATGTCCAGCTGCTTCAAAGACAACACCACTTAGATGATTCAAAGGCATCTCAAATTCAAAGCATCCAAAATGGAACCTCATCATCTTCCCCTATAAATCTCCTCTGGTACTGACACCTGTACTCAGTCGTTCAAAGCAGAAAACAGGGTCATTCTTGACTGCTTACTTCTTCATACCCTCAGTTAAATAATCACTGAATTAATTAGATTCTACTTCCTAAGAATCCCCTGAATCTCTCTAATACTCTAGTCCAGACCTCTTATCTCTTGTTCCTCTTCCCTGAACCACTTGCTTGTCCCTTGTAAATGTAGCACATAAAGGCACAAATTTGGCTTCAGGGCACTTGCCAGTTGTGTAGGTAATAGCTTTGTATTGAAACTGAGCTACACTTTTGGTGGGTTTTTAGGGTTAACACAAAGTCTAGGGCCCACCAAGGTAGGCACTCTAAAAAATCCACATCCACTTGAATCTAGAACCCTGACGTTCACCCTCAAAGATGAACTGTCAGTAAAAAAGTCCTTGCCAGATTCTTGGCCGATTTTTTTGTCATTTTGGCGGTCAAGAGGAATTGAGGCCTTGAACCTGTATTAGAGTGGTCCTTGACTAGTAAGGTCTACAGTTACCTATCAGAAAAATAAAAAGCTCTGGAGGAAGATAGCATCATATCCTACTTAGATTTGTATTATTCCTGTATGTAATTTTTAAAAAAGATTATTTATTTATTTGACAGAAATCACAAGGCAGAGAGGCAGGCAAAGGGAGAGGGGGAAGCAGGCTCCCCACTGAGCAGAGAGCCTGATGCGGGGCTTGATCCCAGGACCCTGAGCCCATTACCTGAGGCGAAGGCAGAGGCTTAACCCACTGAGCCACCCAGGCAGCCCTCTTATATGTAATTTTTCAAAAATATGGCTCAACATATAAAGATAACCAGACATATAAGAAAACAAAGAGTCCATGAGTGAAAACCAGCAGAAATAACAGGCAACAGAAACAAAACTACAAAAAACTTCAGATAATCAGATTTAGCAAACTCAGATTACAAAGAAATTATGTTCAGTAGTGTCAAAGAATAGCCAGGCTTGGAAATTTTATCAGGGAACCAAAAACTATTAAGAAATGACCTAGTAGACTTGAAAAGGAAACCAATAAAAATTCTAGAACTGAAAAAATAAATTCAATTGATCTATTTAACAGCAGACTAGATACAGCTGAAAGGAGACTAATGAACTATCACATTTGTCAAAATATCAAGAAGACAGTTTGGCAAGACAAGGTAGAAAATGGAGACTAAAGAGATACAGAGGTTACAGTGAAAACCATCTAGTAAACACTTACTTGGAGTTTCAGAAGTGGATGAGTGAGAAACAATATTTAAGAATAGCTAAACATGGGGTGCCTGGGTGGTTCAGTGCGTTAAAGCCTCTGCCTTCGGCTCAGGTCATGATCCCAGGGTCCTGGGATCAAGCCCCGCATCGGGCTATCTGCTTGGCAGGGAGCCTGCTTCCCTTCCTCTTTGTCTGCCTCTCTGCCCGCTTGTGATCTCTGTCTGTTGAATGAATAAATAAAGTCTTAAAAGAAAAAAAAAGCTGAATGAATCCTAAAAGCAGAAAAAAATTAATCCACACCCAGATACATCATAGTAAAATTGCAGGATACCCAGAGTAAAAAGAACAGAATTTTAAAGCAGCCAACTATCTGCAAAGGAGTGACAGACTTCACAGGAGCAATGGAAGGTAAAAGGCAAAAGAAAGGTGGAATGAATATGCTGAAAGAAAGTAAATTCAAACCTAGAATTCTATACCCAATAAAAATACCCGCCTAGAATTAAGAAAGGGAAAAGAAAGATCATTTCTGATCAACAGGAATGGGACAGTTCCCCATTAGCAGACCAATGTAAAAGCAAACTCTGAAGCAGATTAAGCAAACTTCTGTATAAAGCCAGGTAGTAAATATTTTAGTCTTGCTGGCCATACAGTATCTGTCACAACCAGTCAACAATGCTGTGGTAGTGCAAGTGCAAAAGCAACTAGAGACAATAGTAAATGAATGAGCCTGGAGGTAGTCCAATGAAACTATTCAGAAAAATGGGCAGTGGGCTGGATTTGGCCTGTGGACTGTATATTGCTGACTCGTGTCCTTAAGTTTAAACTTCAGACAAAAGGGAAATGATCCCAGATGGAAAGGCAGAGATTCCAGAAGGAATAAAGAGGAAAAAAAAGTGGCAAATGAACAGTATATGAAGTTTCGTTTTAAAGAACATAGAACTAAAACACATGGTAATGGGTATATAACTTCAGGAAAGGTTAATTGGAGTTAGTTTTCTAAGTTTTTTGTATTATATGGGGAAAGTGAAAAGGTACTGGTTAAGAATGCCTATTATAACTTTTAGGGTAACTACTAAAATAAGAATAAAACTTCCAAACTACTAGAAGGGGGGAAAATGGAATGATTAGAAAGCAGACAGGAAAGGAGAGAAAATTGAATAGATGAGACAAATAGACAAAATGAACTTTAAGCCCAAACATGTGAGTAATTACATGAATATAAATGAATAAATTCAATTAAAAGTGAATATTGGATTAAATAAAAAAAAAACACAAATGTATGCTGTTTTTAGGAGACCCATTTAAAATGTAAGCAACCAGAAAAGTAGGAAGTAAAAAACTAAATTGTCTTCATTGACACATTATTCAACATGTGGCTCTACTTTCCACCTAAGGATATTGTCTCATACTGTATATATGTATATATACTATACCTCCCTCTAGGACAGAATAATCTGTACACTTATTTTTATTTATTTAAGATTTTATTTGACAGAAACACAGCGAGAGAAGGAACACAAGCAGAGGGAATGGGAGAAGGAGTAGGTTTCTCACGGAGCAGGGAGCCCAATGTGGGGCTCAAACCCAGAACCCTGAGATATGACCTGAGCTGAAGGCAGACGCTTAAAGACTGAGCCACCCAGGAGCCCCAGTACACTTTTACTGTAAATTGTTTTCAATGATATTAATAGTTTTTGAGTTCTTTGAATAATGGAGGGAAACTATTTTGTCAGCTACAAAAGACAACATAATTTAAAAAATTTTATTGGTGGGTGCCTGGGTGGTTCAATGGGTTAAAGCCTCTGCCTTCGGCCCAGGTCATGATCCCAGGGTCCTGGGATCTAGCCCCAAGGCAGGCTCTCTGCTCAGTAGGGAGCCTGCTCGCCCCCCCCCCCCCCCCCCCCCCCCCCCCGCCCTCCGCCTGCCTCTCTGCCTACTTGTGATCTCTGTCTGTCAAATAAATAAATAAAATCTTTGGGAAAAAATTTTTTTTTACTGGCCCAATATGCATTTTAGTTACTTACTTTTCTTTTTTCCCCAGTAATCTCTACACTCAATGTGGGGTGTAGAGATTATACCCCACATTACTCACAGCCCTGAGATCAACCTCTGAGTCAGCAAGGTGCCCCTTGGCCCAATGTGCATTTAAACGGATCTTGGGACTACAACTATTAATTTGTTTTTTTCTTGCTAATAGATTATAAGTTCCATCCAAGTACTAACCAGGCCCAACCCTGCTTAGCTTCCGAGATCAGACGAGATCGGGCGCGTTCAGGGTGGTATGGGTTGATGCACATAACTTTTTTTAAAAAAATATTTTTATTTATTTGACAGAGACACAGCAAGAGAGGGAACACAAGCAGGGGGAGTAGGAGAGGGAGAAGCAGGCTCTAGGCCAACCAGAGAGCCTGATGCCATCCCAGGACCCTGGGATCAGAACCCAAGCCGAAGACAAACGCTTAACGACTGAGCCACCCAGGCGCTCCTGATACACATAAAAAAATTTTTTTTTAAAAGATTTTATTTATTTGACAGACGGATCACAAGTAGAGCAGCAGGCAGGAGGGTGGGGAAGCAGGCTCCCTGCTGAGCAAAGAGCCCCATGCGGAGCTCCATCCCAGGACCCTGAGATCATGACCTGAGCCCAAGGCAGAGGCTAAACCCACTGAGTCACCCAGGCGCTCCGCACATAAATTTTTAATGAAAAAATGTTACCATTACTTTTCCAAGTATCTAGGAAGTACCTATGTCATATTTTAAGGAATTAATATTTTATAAAAAAGTCAAAATATCAAGCTCAGCATTTTCTGTTAGCTTATTTAGTCCTCACAACAATGTTATGAGGTATGAGAGTTTAGATCTATAAATACGAGATTAAGGAATAAATTGCTTAAAGTTCCAGTTAGCAATCACTCGACTAAAATTTTAAAGCTGCTTTTTTTTTTTTTTTAAAGATTTTATTTATTTGTTTGACAGAGATCAAAAACAGGTAGAGAGGCAGGCAGAGAGAGAGGGGGGAAACGGGCTCCCGGCTGAGGGACTCGATCCCAGGACCCTGAGATCATGACCTGAGCCGAAGGCAGAGGCTTTAACCCACTGAGCCACCCAGGCGCCCCTCGACTAAAATTTTAAATCCAAAGTGATGGCAAGCTATGACCACACAGGCTTTCCCCCCCCACTGTCAGTGCTGCTAATACACTGAAAAGGCTTTATTCTTCAAACTTATCTTTTAAGCAGGAAAGGAAAAGAAACTTTTTACAAGATCACCTTTCCTTTCTGAGAATACTGCTTAATTTTTATAGTTCCAAATTTAGACTAACAGCTTCCCGTTAAAAATTATCATAATCAGTCTGAATGGTGTAGATCATCTGTTTCCTAGTGTATTAATTTCAGGTGATATTTCCTGAACTTAATTTATCCTAATGGGGTGAGGGGTGCTGTTAAGCCTCTATGCATAGAGGAAGGGAAATGACCCGGATTTCACATCTCCAGGGCTCCTTTTGGAGGTCAAGGCAGCACTGGGGAAGTGTGGAGCGTACAGTATTCTGGGTGGGCCCCTGAAAACGAGTTAATTGGGCAGCGAATAATCATTAGAAATACGCATCTATTAGCTACTAAGACTGCTAACCTCAGTCGAACAGACGGGCAAGGTCTCCACCCACTTTCGACTCGGGGTAGCCCTCTGGCCCATTTGCTAATCTGGGTCTGTTTCGCCAGCACCGCATAGTGCCGCGCAGCCCTGGCCCACTTGCAGCTGGTAGCGTGAGGTTTGGCGCCTCGGGCGGATCCGGCTCGAGGGTCGTTTGATAACCAGAGTCTCGCGAGATCTGGGGGAAAGGGGCGGGAGAAGTTCGCGTGCACGCGCCCCAGAGCCGTTAGGGTGGAACCTCTCCCGGGCGGGGCGGGTGGAGCAAATACAGTTGGACGCCAGTTGGTGGAGCCCCCGCGGGAAACAACTAAGCGCGAGGAGCGTGCGCGCTCACGTCCCTACGACGGTGGCGGCGAGCGGCGTCAGAGCCTGAAGGGGGGGCCGACGGCTTCTGGCGGGTGGCGGTGTTGGAGGCGAGAGCTTGCTTAGCCCGTAACGCTTCTATCCCAAGAGCCGACGGAGAGTGAGGGAACGAGGGCTGCTTTCGGGGGCTGCTGCCTTCTACTTACACATCGTCGTGAGGAGCGCAGTCGGGACTCTCCTACAAGCCCTGCGGCTCCCTTTCCACACGCCTTGAGGCGGCGGCGGCGGCAACTGAGACAGCGTCTCACCTTCCCCCACCCCTTCCCCTGTCCCCCCTGCCCGAGAGGGCCCGGTCTGCGCCCCACCCCCGCCCGCTCGCTACGCCGCCGCCATGTCGGCGCAGGCCCAGATGCGCGCAATGCTGGACCAGTTGATGGGCACCTCCCGGGACGGTAAGTGTCTGCCAGTGCCCTGGGGGTGGGGGAGGGGATGGGGAAAGCGAGGGGAAGGGGCTCCACGGGCGTACCTGGGCTTGCGTGTGTGGCTGAGTAAGGGGCTCCCAGATTGGTAACACGAGGTCCCGGCTCCCGTCCCATCCAATCAGGGCTGGGCAGGAGGGCTTAGGGGGCGGTGACCGAGCGGATTGGCGGGAACTGCTGCCAATGGGGTCAGGCGGGGCCTGGAGGCAGAAAGGAGAGTTTGAGATTCAATGTTGACTTGTCTGGGACGGCAGAGCCCACGTATCTCCTGGCGTAGTCGGTCATCCTGTTTTGTGGCTGATTAGGTACCGGTGAACCGCTAAGGCCTCCTCCCCCTGAATTCCTTAACCCTGTGCTTTGGGATCGTCCCTCGCCGCCGCCCTCCAGAGCATCCAGAGAGAATTGCCCCACCCCTGCTCCCCCGCCCCCCACCCCTTACCTGGGTCCGGAGAGAAGCTTCACTAGGAACCCAGTCCCAGAAGTGTACTCTCGATCCCCACAGAAACAATCCTCATGGAAAAATCTGACCCAAACCATGGTTTCTTGAAGTGGGTGTGTTTGGCCCCATTTTGTGAAAAGAAATGTTATGGCTTGTTTTTTTCCGAGAGACCTCCATTTTGTTAGAGAATTTAATAAAAGCTTTGTTCAGTAAATATTGACAGATCTTGCATGTGCCCCAAAATAGAACCATTTTGAAAATGTGGTGCCCAGTGAAATAGAATTGAGGGAAACAACGGTCCTTTTAGGCAGTTAGGTTAGAATTTGTGTAGAAAATTACTAATTGCGGATATTTTTGTCATAAAGAGAATTTCTAAATAAAAAGATGAAATGCTTTTGCTTTTTTGGTGATGATAATGTATTATCAAATTGAGCTCAAATAATGCTAATAATGGAGGAAAGGTCTAGTTCAGTACTTTCTTAAAAGCAAAACACTTGCTTATTTTTATGTTGCTTGTTTAGCAGATCGTTTCTTAGCCATTAAAGAAATGCTTTTTTCTTGAAAAGTTACTTAAATTGCTTGGCGTAAGAAAAAAGGCACACTTACATTTTTAACAGTTGCTCTTGTAATTTTCTTGAATACTTTGCAGCAAAATATGTGAGTAGATTTAAAAAAATGTACTGAATTGAGGTATTTTTCGCAGTGCATACAGAGAATGGCTTTTCAGGATTCACAGTTCAGTTTTCATAAAAGCTCATATTGGGAATTTGTCTTCATAGGACGTACAGACAAATAGGTGGAGGTGTGGCAAAACCTACTTGTGGTTGTGTAGAGAGGAGGGGAAAATTGGGAAGGAAATGAATTTTGTGTAGTAAACCCTTGAAAGTTAACATTAATTAAAAATGCCCCTGAAACTTTTTTACCTGTTCATTTTTCACTGTTAGATAAGAATGGTTCTTTTATAACTGCAGCATGTCTTAACATTGCTCCTTTTCCATAATGAAGACTGTATTGGGAAGAGACCTAATTCAGGATTTTAGCTGACAGAGTAATTTTTGTAATAAAAGTAAGAAAATCATTTAAGATTTTACATGAACCTTTTAATCCTAGATGGATACCATTTTTGGTACCTTCTGCATGGATTGAATTTTCTAATTTCACTGGGAGGGTAGTTGGATCAAAGTAATTGCTGTCACCTGATATCACCTGATACATTTCCAAATGAGGTAGCCAATCTAGTATTGCAAAGCTACATTAAAAAAAAATATATATATGTATATATATATAAATATATTCTTGTGTGTGTAGTCAGCAGAAACATGGATTTCTTAAAATCCATTCTGCTTTGTATACAAATAAATTTACATTTTTTATGTGTATGTTACCGGATTTTTTTTGCCTCCAGACTAAGAGGATTTACCAATGAACTCATGTTAACGAGTCCACGATATTATTTAGCTGAAATGACTGGATTTTCACTGCTGTGTTGGGCCAGAAGTAAGAAACCTACTACTTTGAAGGAAAAGAAATGAATGTTTTTTTAGATACCCATATTCTTTTATGTATACAAGATAAGAATCAGAACATTCTTTTCCTGACCAGATAATGAGTTTACATATTTCATCTTACGATTCAGGACCTTTAAATAATTAGGATTGTTCTTCTTTAGCATACAGTAAACTTCAAGTTATCCAGGGGTAGGAGAATATGTTCCTGAATAACACCATATAATTTTAAAACCATAAAATGGAAAGCTTTGTATTGGACAAAGGAACAGCTTACAGGGAATGCTGTTGGGTGTCTTTGGCACTAGAGGTGGAAATGGGGATCCAAGAGGTGGGAGAGAGATGGAAAAGGTAGGTAGGGGAGGGTGTGCTTAAGGCGGTTCCGCACCCCCCCCCCAAAACAATCATCCCAGAGACTGACTGTAAAACAACTACTGTCTTCTGGGATCGTGTGACTCAAGGTTGTAATAACCCCTCCTCAACCTTTAGTGGCCTGTCTCTAAGGGAATCTGAAGTGGCACAAGAGGCCTAGGGCACTGGGAAAACTTTGTTTCCCTTTCACCTTCCCCTCTCCTCCACCTATAAAAATACTTATTCCTTCTTCCCTTCTGACTCAGTTTTTATTAAGTTCTTTTTTAAGCTCTTTGGAGATGTAAGTCTATTAAAAGTACCTTATTTTGAGTTACTTAATTCAGCTAAACCTGTAGATTACCTAATTTTTATTGAAATTCTCAGAAATAGGAATTTTAGTGTCAGGGAAATGGAGAGGTAATTTTGGATCACTGGGCACTCCCAGAAAGGACAGTCTTGGGTGAGTGGTGGAAGTGGGGGGCGTTGGACAACCAGAGGGCAGCATGATGGTGCTGGGAGGCTGGGCAGGGGGATGACCAGGTGGTGGGAGAGGAAATGCATAAGGGTGGTGGGAGGGCCAAAGACAAACTTTGCCTTCTTTGCAATTTTGCCTAGGGCCCTGGTGGTGGCAACCGCCTGTGTGCCACTGAAAATCGTGCCGATGCCTGGCATACTGCATAAATGGAAGCAGGGTACCGCGTGAGTTGAAACATTGGTCACACTATATAAAGTTTGTATATGTGAATCAGTGTAACTCATACCCATGTAACTGGGGGTCTGACTGTATTTGGATTTTTCTGATAAGGCATCATGGGCTAAGGAAAAGAGCCCTGGGCTGAGACTCAGGAGACCTGGTTTCTAGCCCCAGCTGTACCTCTAATTGTAACCTTGGGTAAGTCACTTAACCTTTTTTGCCTCAAGTTAAATCAATAATCTGTTAAATGGGAAACCAAATAATTTACTATGTTACACTCAAAAAATGTTGAAAAATAAGTATATTTTAAGTTTTTTTAAGAGAGAGGAACCATAAGTAGATATAAATTAGTATGTTATTTTATCTGAAGTTTGAGGTAAATTAATCTTTATAAATACCTTTTTGTTGTAGTTGTTGGCATTAGTAGACGGGAGAGGGATAATTTTTTTTTCTCCCTGAGCATAGTCCATTTGAAAGGAGGGAGGATCAGCAAAGGAGAATTCAAGTTGGAGGAACTCAGTGTCCTTGCATAGACTAGTTATTTTTTCTGAGTTTGGTTAATTGCAGGAATGTCCCTTAGCTAAAACTTTTGCCAGCAAATAGATTTTGGTTATAAGCCTCTGGTCCTGACCCCTAAAAGGCCTGGCAAGGTGCAAGGGATAGGAATTAAACAAAATTGTGGGTATGAATTTAGATTATATCCTGAGATTAGAAACCAGGGGATTTAGAGAAGTAGTTTGAGGACTCCATATTTTTTAATTACTTACAGCCTTTAAATGGCAGAGATCATCTTGGAAAGGTTAAAACGGGCGGGGAATGACAATCATCCCCAGCATCTCCCCTTCCTCTAGTTCATGTCCCAAGCGACCAGTGAACTAATAGAATGTAGAAAACAGAATAGAATTTTATTGCAGCATTAGTTGCCCATTATGGTTAGGGAATGTCTAGGGCAAGTTAAAGCTTTCAGATAATTGTACCTATTTTTGAGGGTAATCCTTCTAAACATACAGTGATGTGTTTCCTTAGTTAATAGAGTGCATTTAGTCATAATTTGTCAGTTACATTGTATAGTAGTTTTATAGAATGTAAAATTAAAAGGGTACTACTCATCCTAGGAGGTAACCAGGAAAATAAATTTCAGTATATCATTTACTTGTTCCTAATATAAGTTTAGTGATACGTAACTTGAACCTGTAGGATAGTATGACGTTGCTGCCTTTCTGCAAAATAAGTCATTGAATCAAAGATAGAAGCAGTGTTATCTTCAGTGGATTTTCTTCATAAAGTCATCTTTACTGTAATCTGTGTTTCTTGACTTGTCATCAACATTGAGAGCATTTTTTTTTAATTTTTCTCATTAGCATAATGAGCCATATTTATTTCTTGGTCAGTTGTAAACCATTCTATTCCACTTGGATTGTTCATTATAAGTGAAGGAGGCATAGCCTTTAATGTATAAGCACACATTTTAAAAAATAATAATGGGGTATATCTTACTCCAGAGCTTGTAATTCTTTTAACTTAAGAAATTTTGGCAAAAATAAGGTTAAACAGTAGTTAAACATGAGGCTAAATAAGAGTTCTACTGAATATTTGACTTAGAGGTTCAGGCATATCAAAACACTGAATGCCCTGTTAACATCCATATGGTGAGCCTGTTTTAAACAAACTTTAACTCATTTTACATTTTGAACTCTGAATATTTCTGTCTGCAAAACAGCCCAGAAAATAGTAATGGTATCATTTCATGTAATCTTGTTTTCTTCTTGGATTCTCTACAGTCGTTTAGCTTTCCTCAAGGAAGCCTATGTTTGTGAGATATTCTTTTACTTTGGGTAAAGAAATAAATGGAAACCAAAGAAAAATCATTTTGTTTATCACTACATAAGCTCTGTAAGCAACAAATAAATGCTTTGATTTGGATAAGATGTTACATGAGGAAAAATGGTGGTGAGCTGCACGTTCAGCATAGGTAGGAAAGGTGTCATGGATCATGGTCTTTGAATGAGTCAGATAGTGGTGTTGAGTACTCGGTGGTTTATACAGACATTAAAGCTTGAAGTTGCTAAGAGTTCAGGCAAGCGGTGGGGTTGCAAAGATAGGTAGATGGCTTAAAACTGAAGGTCACCTAAGTGTGGGCAAAACTAGATCAATGAGGCAAATGCTCCTCAAGGATGGAATTCTAGAAAGGTACATGAAATGGATTGAATCCTACAAACCTGGGGCTATTAGTATAGTCTACAAGGAAGTATAAACGTTTATTTTAGCTACTTGGTCAACTAAGAAATTGTAGACAAAGAAGATGAAAGGTGGAACATTTTGCAGGAGAAGGAATGAGGGAGTAAGAGGGTACATTTCTGACAGGAATCTTGTGAATTCACCTGCAGAAAAGTCATTCTGTACCTTTTTGGTTTAAATTCTCATGCAGTAGTAGCCGCTAGGGTAGAAATTGGAAGCAAGGCCAAAATATATCAGTTGATCAATTTTTGTAAGGTGACTGAGGTTATAGAGTAGTTTTGTAAAAACTGAGTAAACGGGGGCGCCTGGGTGGCTCAATGGGTTAAAGCCTCTGCCTTCGGCTCAGATCATGATCTCAGGGTCCTGGGATCGAGCCCCGCATCGGGCTCTCTGCTCAGCAGGGAGCCTGCTTCCACCTCTCTCTCTCTCTTTCTCTCTGTCTACTTGTGATCTCTGCCTGTCAAATAAGTAATAAATAAAATCTTAAAAAAAAAAGAAACAAAAACCGAGTAAATGTATTTTGCTCTTTTAACATGGGCTAGTGAAAGGAGTCTTTTTAAAATTTTTTTCTAGAAAAAAACCTCACTAGATATTGATCCATATGTGCTAATTTAGTTGTGAACCATGTGCATTGATGTTTGACCTGTGTGATTCAACATGAAAAGAATTTAACCAGATGCCCTTGCTGAGTGTTTTGTCATGTCTCCTGAATGCATGGTAAATTGTTTTGTTTTTATCATCTTGAGACTTCAGTTTTCTCTTTCAGAGTAAAACTTTCCAGAGTTTTACCTTTCAACAAAATAAGTTGGATATTAATTGGTTATTATCTCTGGGATACTTAGCTGTTCATTGCCTCTTTATTTTGTCCTGTTACTAGATTACGCAGTATACCCTTTTTTAGTTATTTGAAGGTATATTTTAGATCAGGATTGGTACTGTGGCCCACTGCTTTTTGTAAATAAATGTTTATATGAATACAGCCATGCCCATTTGTGTACCTACTGTCTTTTGCTGCTTTGCCTTGAAACAGCAGAGTTGAGTAGCTGCAAGAGATATCTATAGCTGGCGAGTTTGAAATGTTTGCTGTCTGGCCCTTTAGGAAAAAGCTTGTTGACCACTGTTTTGGTGAGTGATTCTCAAAATGTGGTCCCCAGACTTTAGCAGTACCTGGAGACTTGTTAGAAAATGCAAATTCTTGGGCTGACTCCAGAAATTCTGGGGATTGGAGCCAGTAATCTGTGATTTAAACAACCTTCTAAATGACTCTCATGTGCATTAAAGGTTTGAGAAACTCTGTTCTAGATAAGTGTTTCCCAAGTGTTCATCTCACATACCACCTTGACTGTTTTTTAACCCTATTTTCTGTTTATTTAATATTTTGTAAACATAAACTCACTTTCTAAAAACTTAATTTTAAAATGAAAATTTATGTCACCAGAAAAATACAATGAGAACAACATGGTATTTTTTTTTAACTTTTTTTTTCAAGATTTTACTTATTTATTTGACAGAGAGAGGGAACACAAGGACGGAGAGTAGGAGAGGGAGAAGTAGACTTCCCGCTGAACAAGGAGCCTGAAGCAGGGCTTGATCCCAGGACCCTAGGATCATGACCTGAGCCAAAGGCAGACAACAACTGAGCCACCCAAGCTCCCCAACAACATGATATTTTAAGAGATAAAACTTAGACTCAAAAAAATTCAAGAAAAAGCTTAGACTCTGTTGTCACACATGCTAAACATTACCTTATTAGAGGTATGGACTTGATCATGTACTTTTAAAGTTAATCATGGTAAATAATCACTAAATGATTCAGTGGTGCTTAAAATGTTGGTGAAATCCTGTTGGTGAAAGTGGATAATACCTAAAATCATCTTTTGTATAAATCTCATACTTTGGAAAATACCGTTCTAGAGAAAGAAAAAGCTGTTTTAACTACATACCCAAGCCCTGAAGTAGAAATGACTAGAAGAAGCACATACCTGTGAGATGGAGCGATCTAGAATCCCTAAAGAGGTTCGTCTAGCCCTCAAGGGTGAAATTACTTCATTTAGCTTGAATTCTCTCCTCCTCAGTAGTGTTTTGGCCAATGGTAGCCAGCAGTTCTGCAGGACTTCACCAACCTGTTTCACAAGGGGCATGTGGAAAGGTGCCTGGCTCTGGGAAAGGCTACTTATAAAAGATTAACCCCTGGACTAGAAACTGTGGGTGAAGTGGCTGTGGTTTTACCTTGTGGATAGGGGAACAGCAGGACAAGCTTGCTGGAACAATAGTTGATTATGGAAACCATGTGGTCGTATTTTAAGAAATTCCCATGTTATTTTACTTGCCTCATGGTATTAAAGGGATACTTCCCTGGACATAGTGTTCTCTTTATTTACTGGCTGATGTGCTTTAGGGTATAGTAATTGTTAATAGGAATAGAATCTTTCTTTTCCTGAATATCCCCAGGTTGCTGATTTGCTTTAGTTACTTCTTTTCCTTAGAGATTATGGACACATTGGTTTCTGTTGTCTTTTGTATCTGCAATAAAGTAGTGATGTAGGACTCTAAACTGACAGGCTAGTGGGAAATGAAGGTTTACACATGAACAATTATGTTTATTTTTAATTGATGAATTCTATGATGTTGATTGTATGGGTCTAATTTGGCAAAAACTTAAAAAAAATGCAAAAGACTATCAGACACCTATAGGAGTGAACAAATGTTACTTTGTTCAAACTATAAACAAAATATTGCAAATGAAGTTCTTCTGCTCCACTTCACA